GCTCCAGGCTTGTCACACCCCAGAGGAGCACCACTGGACCACCCAGTGGGATCATTCACCACCACCACCACCGGAGGATGGAGACGACGACCTCATGAACCAGATCGACTTCACCGGTCTAGGAGGCGGCTCCTAGTGCCCTGTTTTGAGTGTGTTTTTGTCAGTGTGCAAACTGTCTTGTGTCGGTTTAGTTTCTTTCTTTTTATTTTGGATGTTGTACTATTGGGCTGACCATTAGACCTGACGTATTGTGTTTGAGCTCTTTGGTTTCCTTTAGCTGTGCTTGTCTTGACTGGTCCTCTCTCCAGTCCGCTTCACTCCGACTGGTCCGCTTCCAGTCTCCTGCAGTCCGTGCATACCGGTAACATCGTTCCCCTTTTCCTTCCCTCTTCTCCATTGAGGGCAATGTCGATCTTAAGTGTGGGGGGATGTTTCTCTTTTGACTGCGTTAGATCTGTTTGTGTGCTTGGAGCCTAGTCCACTGTCCAAATTTTTAAATTTGAGGGCTCCAAGTACGTGTTCCTTGAAATTGCCTGCTCAGTATGCTTTGAATTGACAGTCTCTATAGTAATGTGCAACCTAGGGAGGTGGTGTAGCACTATGGAGGATGTTGATGCACTTAAGAAGTCTCATTTCTTCTTCATATTGTGTTGGTTGATTGTGCGAATTAGTGATCTTAGGACTCTTGAATTGTGTGGTGATGTGGACTCTCTACCTGTCATGGACTCATGTATCATGTTTTTGAAATAAAAGGTGCTCGAAAATGTGCTTTAAATAACATCTCCCGTGCGAATAGGGCGAAAGTGTGTAAGGGGAGACGGGAATCCGTTCCCAATTTCCACATACTACCTCCAGCCCCCTTACATGTCTTTCCCTCGCACGAGGCTCGAGACATCCGCTCCTGGCATGGCCGGTAAGAGCCGGGCTCCCACAAAACCTCTGCTAGGTGGGAGCCCCCATTTTCTGAAATGCAGGTTGGGACCCTTGAAAAAAAAAAGAAAACAAGCAAAACAGAAAGAAAAGGGGTTCCAACCATCTTCAAGAAGAAAATAGAGCACCTTAAGAAGGTGAGTCCATGATCTTTTGTTTTAGAGAGTCCATTCGTCCATGATTCATTTGTCCTCTACTCACTATTTGCCATGATGCCGACTCGAGACTAGTGTTCTCGCCGAAGAAGCTATGAGATGACTTGTGTGTCGGTTGACCTCGTAAGCTGCTAAATGATCTAGGAAATCCTCTACCTATGATCGGGGTTGTTGGTTGCTATAGAGGTCTGGAGAGTTGCATTGGTTTGAGTTAGGTTTGCTTGGGGACAAGCAAACGGTTAAGTGTGGGGGAGTTTGATAGACCAATAATTACACATGTTTTTACCCCTATTCTTGAGCCGTTTGAGAGGTTGACTCTCGTGTTTTAATCCGATTTCACGCGAGGTTGTGTGTTTATGTCGTATTTCAGGACCCGGCGTTGGAATCGAGGCGAGGAAACGATTTTTGGGTCGAAAGGAGCGAAGTTGGGTTGAAGTGTGCTGGAGAGCAAAAATACCCGGCCATGAGCAGAAATACCCGACCGGGTATTATCTGGCCATGACCGGGGATTTTCGGTTTTGGCGTCCGTGAGAAACAGAAGGGGTCCCGGGCTGGAGGCAAAAATCCCCGACTGGGGATTATTGGCTTAGACCGGGGATTTTTCCCTGAGGCAAAACGCACGTTTCAATTATACCCGGTCGAGATCCAAAATACCCGATCGGGTATTTCGACCGGGTATCGCAACAGGCAGCAGTTTTAAAGGAAAAGAAGGCCAAAGATCAAGGGAGTCGAGTTTTAGAGAGATAGAACGATTCCTAGAGAGAGAATGCGACGAACAAGAGTTCCCAAGTGCCATAGCTTGATCTTCATCACCATTGGAGCCCGGCTTGAGCTTGGAGAAGTGCCAATTGACAACCAGGAGCTGAAACTCATCCTTCACAGTATGATTTCCGCGTTTGAATCTGTTTTTGCTTCTTTCTCCACGGAGTAGTTCTCCCATTCATCTGGGTATGGAGAACCCTAGATTTGTATGTTAGGTCTGATTGTATGAACCCAAGTACAGATTTCATGAGTTGATTATATTCAATTGAGGCTTGAATGATTGAATGACTTGAATCCTGATCAAATTCATGTTGTTTCTGCTTTAACCTAGAACGAGATTATCTGCCTAGGTTGATAGAGCACCCTTAATTGAAGGTGGCGAATTGGTGACTTTAGTCGAGGAGCCAATTCGCTATTCTGTACCGAATTCAATTCGGTAGTGGAGGTTTGGTTCGTTAGGGCCTCAATCTGTTTACTCCGGTGGAGGTTAGTCGCCCGCTGGAGACTCAGATTGAGAGGGTCTGAAGACCTTTAGTCGAGACTTCAGCCTGTTTAAGAACCTTCCGCAGTATAACTTTCATGGAAACTGAACTTGGTAAATTGCAATCCGGCTTAACTGCAGTCTAGGGGGAACCATATCCGGGTGACCTCTCTTAACCTGAAAACAACCGTTTACTTGCTTTGTTTGTTTGTTAATTTGGACCTGCACTAAAGTTTCATTGCTAGATAACAAGAATTCACCGAGTAGTCATCAAATCTAGGACCCGGGTTGACATTAAAACCCAAACCCACTATACTACGCTTTAGAAAGTGGTTATACTTGGCCAATTTCTAGAGTGACAGTAGGAGTGAGTCAGTAAGTTAATTGTTGATATCTATGCATTTAATGGATGTGTTTATCATTTTTACTATTCTAGTGTATCATGTTTCCCTTCTGGTCTCTTATAGGAAGGAGGTCCTTTTCAGATGTACATAATTCTTCTTCTCCCTGACAAGGTTAGACACAAAGACAATGGCACACGAGAATGAGGTGCCCAACGATTTTGTTGATACTTACAACGACTACCTCAATCGTAAACAAGCAAAGAACGGGGCATTCAAAAGGTGGGTGTTCTCCACATCAAAAGCTATGAGTTAGAAAGATCGTTGGCTACAACTGCACTATCCAACTCGTTCCATTCATTTCCTAGATACAGTAAATCTTATTAACTGTGCAGTTTGGAGTTCAAGAAATATTGGATGTGATGAAAAAGGACCCAGATTACGAGTTGGTAGAGCCAAATTACTTTGATGAGATTAAACTTGAAATTGCAACCTGCAAATGGATCCCACACAATGTCGACTTTCGCAAGTGCGACTATGTTGGTGTTTCTTACCGCTTCTCTTTTATGGTGTCTATTGCTTTGATTGTGGATTACATTGCTTTGTTCCTAGTCTAAGAAATATCATGTGTTTCTATTTTTGTTGACTGGCAGTGGATCTTTCCACATCTCCACAATAGACACTACATGACATTTGTTGTCAATTTGAGGGACAAGAAGTTCCAATATTTGGATAACATCAACCCCTAGAGCTTGAAGGATTATAAGGACAATGGACAAATGGTCGTCAAGTATGCCCTTGCGTACCTCGGGGTCTGCAGGGATGATCAATTCAACTTCAACGAGTTTGCATGGGAAAGTCCACAAGTGGTGAGGTAGAAAGGTGGGACAAGCTGCGGTGTGATTACGATGAACTGGGCTGAGTGTTGGGAAGGATAACCGGAGAATTTCATGCTGGAATGGAGGAGCAAAAAAGTTATAAATGATAGAAGGGATGCTATCATACTGAATCTGTTGGATTCAAAAGATGTGTTACTTGAAGACTTGAAGGCCAAAAGTCTGGCTTATGAAGTTTGAGTAAGAAGTTAGTGGTAAATATGCAAAGTTGTAGTAGTTAAATCAAGTTTTTCAGAACATTATGTCCTACTTGTATTTGTGAACTACTTCCAGGGGTTTCTACAATTACTGCTCCGCATCTAGCATTTGTGGGTAAATTTATCGTGATTATGGCATTCTAGTATTTTTCCAATTTGCTGTTGGAGATGGTCTTATATTCAACAGCGGTGAAGTTGTGGATAGGGTTTTACACTTAGTGGTGTAGATTCTTGTGTTTGTGGATGAGTCCAGGAGTTAGTTGTAAAGAGAGCATCAAGCAATAACCTTGGTGATGTCGTTAATACCCTCGGTTCCATTATTCCTTAAAATCATACCATAATTAAAAAAACACCTTGAGAATAATATAATTTGGGGATTAATAGTTGTTTTAGGATTATATAATTTGAAACGTATTAAGAATGATTATATCTTTGTTGAATTCATGATATAGTGGGTCCGTTAGTGTTATAATTGGAAATTTATATGTGAAGTCTTAGGTACAATGATGTTGAATGTGCGGCCGAGAATGAAACCCATGGATACGGGGATGGGTTGCAAAACATTCCCCCGCATGGGTATAGGGCGGCTATGGGTTTGGATATTTATAAACGGGGATGGGGATGGTTTAGGCAAACCCGCCCCATTTCCATCCCTACTTGGACGGTTATTGATGGACCAAACGGTTTTCACAAGTTCAATATAAATTTCAACATACAAGTAGGCACATATAATCTCACATTTAAATCGCTCAAATTTGTTTTATATAAAGATTCATGTATTTCACAGTCTCTTATTCTTACCAATTTAATAATTTAAAACAAAATTATTATCATGATTACAAATTTTACCTTAAATCAAACCATATAATATAGCAGCCAGTATTTGACCATTCATAATTAGAAATAAAAATTATAAATTAAAAGAGAGAGTGCGATCAAAACTAAACAAGTGATTTCAAAGAAGCTAATTATAAATTGAAATGAAAATTTTAGAAAATTGTGGGAAGGCCCATAATTACTTAACTAGCAAAAATATGATTAAAATTCCAAAGGAAGGCAATCGAACCTTCCATACATTGAAAACACAAATTGAAAACATGAAAAAAAAATACAAACAACGCATCCATATGCAAAATATTCAAAAAAAAACTACATAAACATAAAGTTCTAGGTCAAAAAGGAACAAGATATCCAGAAAATTGCTAAAACATAACCTACTAGTCCATACACAAACAAAAAATAGATTGATCCATTTGTTGCATGAACAATCGCCTTCTTCTTCCTCCTCCTTCATCCTTCATCCTCTTCACTGAACTTGTCGACGAGCCCGAAATCCACTATCAACATCATCAACTAAGTCATCATCCTCATCATATTCATCATCATCATCATCATCATCATCATCATCAGCTCCCATATCCCTCTGTCCATCCCTGTCCTCTCGATCCCTGTTTTGCAGCATTCTCTTAAGCATGTCGTCTATCAGATACCGTTGCTGATAAGCTCGTACTGGGTCCCGGAGATCTTCAACGATGGCGGCAACATGATGGTACACAGAAAGGCTATTAGAGGATGGATAAGCAACAAGAACCACGCCAACTTTCTTGAGGAACGTGTTCACCAGAATGGCATAAGGAATGTCAGTAATACCATACTTGTGATCAATAGCAAGGACAGAATTGAGTATATTTAAACACATCATGGATGAAAGATTGACCTTTTGCCCTCTCCTTTCATGGGACAGGAAAATATATCAAAGGGAAGCAACACATTATGGTTAAAATTGTGGGGGAGGAAAAATGAGCGACAAGCCAGTGAAGCAAACGAAGATCATCATTCAGAACAGAGCCATCTCTATTCTTTCCTGTTAGAACCCGGAGGTCTGACTCAGAGTTCACATAATCCGGCTCATCTATCAAACAAACACCTCCGCAATGAAGCTTCAGTCTGTCAGGAAAAAAAATTCCAATCAAAGCGAACATTTTCACCCAGAAACTCTAAAACGAAGTATGCCCCAAAAGTCGTATATCCTCCTTTCTCAAGATTGGAAAAACACAACCAGACAGCAATGGGGCAGAAGTGGCAGTGATCAGAGAAAAAGGGCAAAGTTTCACATGAAACTGGAGGGATGAAAAGGAAGCTCTTTTGATGAGAGAAGGAGAGATAATGCATTGAAAAGAGGAAGCGACACATGGAGTGTTGCAGCGGTTTAGTAATAAAAAAGCAGATAGTTTGTGAACCGAAAAGAAGTAATGAGGAGACAACTCCGTTGGGGTAAGTAGACTAGACTCTTTCTCACTCACCTGGTGGTAATGATGATATTCATTTAAGATGGAAAAAACCCACTGCTATTCACAAATTTTATGGCATTGGCCTCATTAATTACTATCATGACCTCGAGAAAGAACGTTATGGTGTCAGAAACAAATATTATGGGTTGCATAAGGAGACTTGTGGGATGTGTGGTAAGGTTTATAGAAAAACACAACCCATTGTTCGAATGCTATTCACAAATATTATGGAATTGGCCTCATTAATTACTATCATGACCTCGAGAAAGAACGTTATGGTGTCAGAAACAAATATTATGGGTTGCATAAGGAGACTTGTGGGATGTGTGGTAAGGTTTATAGAAAAACACAACCCATTGTTCGAATTCATAAGATCATCTCCATCCCTGCAATCAATAAATAATTTCTAAAGTGGGACCCATTTAATTTCTTACAATCTTACTACATAACATTTGAATGAGTAAACAATTTCTAAGCAAAGTGGCACATCACTTTAGCAATTGCTAAAGGGTAGGGATGGAGATGATTAAAACAACAAAATCAACATAACTAACACACCAATTCAAACATTAACGCAACCATCATTGTTTACAAAATTATAAACACAAATACCAGTCTACAAATACATAAGCATTTTTCACAAATATAAATCAAAACAGAAATGCACATGGCTACACAAACAGACTTCTTCTTCCTCTTCTCATTTCAACTCCTTAAGTACCCTTGCATCCCTCTCTCTACTGCTGACGACAATCATTCACAAACAAACCTTCACCACCATATAGAATCATCATCACTGCCGAACACAGCAGCAAACACATGTTCATATGGTCCTGAACCAATCCGGAGGCGTTTGTCTGGTGCGTCCTCCGCTACATTATGAATTCGATCTCGGCGAGCATCGTAGGTGTTGCTTAATTTCATCACACGAGACACAATAATGGGGACAGACTTGGAGTTCAAGAATACATAATCATCAAGTCTAATGCCAACTGACTCAATAAACTTGGTGACTAGGGTACCATGTGGAAGGTCATCACTATGATCTTCAATACAGGGAACAGACTGAATCATATTATGATACATCAAGGAGGGGAGGCTGACCTTAATCCCTTTAGTGGCACTTGCAAGGATGAAAATATCGAGTTCTTCCAAAACATTATGATGATGAGAGCGAGGGAGAAGAAATGAGAGATAAGCCAGTGAAGAAATTTCAGGGGCTCAGGAAGAATAAATGAATCAATGAGCTACTCCATAATGGAGAGAAGAAGATACATAGAAGAAATTGAAGAAAACTTGAGGTTGAGGAAGATGCCTCCTCTCTTCTAGCTCCTTCTCCTTCTTTTCATTTTCTCCTTCCTTCAGCTTCTCTCTGTTCTCTCTCTCTAAAACCATAAAATCTTCTCTCAAAATCATCTCATCTAAAATGGGGAAAGGGGTCTCCTATTTATAGGCAATCAGGGGCAGACAAGTTCGCGGCCAGGAGAGTAAAGATCGCGGGCGGGATCTTCAAAGGTGCGGTCGCGATCTTGAAATGCAGTCATGCTGGCCTTCGAAATTGAGAAGATTGCGGGCTGACTTCGCAGTCGCGATCCGCTAGTTGTTGCGATCTTCCTCGCGGTCAAAAAGCATTGTGGTCGTGATTCGACTTAGGAAACTCTCTTTTTCTCCTTGGCTCCTTCCTCTCGAAGTTCGCTCCTTGAGCCCTCCTATTCGTGGCCGTGATCTTGGGCTTCCAGGTCGCGATCTTTAGCTTGACTTTGCGGTGCAGGATCTCGCCCGTGATCTTCACTTCTAGACCACGATCTCCAGTCTCCTGCCCCTTTGCTATAGTTGTGACATTTTTTTGTACCTAATTCGCATATATCGTCTAACACACACTAAAATTACATCGAATTCATATAGAACATAATAGGGATGCAATTGGTGATGTTTAAGTATTTATGCACATGAATTGGCACGAAACAAACCTCAATATAAAGGGTAAATAACACCAATTTAGGTGTTATCGGGACATCATTGGAGTAGTTGGGGTCAATGTTGTCGAAGTGACGATGAATAGCGTGGGTTGAGTGAATGAATTAGAAACTAATTCTAAATCAATATGATTTTTTATTTTTGTTGAAAAAAGAGTAGAATGATTTACTTAATAAGCGAGGGGCAATATAGTCAATTACCATCCTTTTATCGTTAGGTTTTTTTTGGTGAGAGCCTTTTACCGTTAGTTAATAGAATTTTAGACAGAATGACATGTTTGTTACATTTTGATAATAGAAGGGTATGTTTTTGAAAAAAAAAAAATAATAGATGGGTACATTTGTTAATTTTCAATAATACAAAGGTAGAAAATACTATTAACCCGTAGAATTACAATTACTAAAACTATACTAGTGACATGTAATTTCATACCATCAACATACACAATTGACTTATGTACCACCATTATTCACGTGATAGATTTCTTTTCTAAAGAGTTATTTTTTGAAGTGAAAACATTGTCTTTAGATACAAAGTAAATAATTTCCAAAAAAAATTAACCATCTACTAGCCGGACTCGAAACTAAATGAAGATCTGGCCTAGGAAAATTTCCAATTCCGATTTTCGCCACCTCTTTTGTTTTTCCACTCAGAATCATTTTGTTTGACCATTGTTAGGGGGTGGAGGGGGGGAATTTGCAGTACGCCCTGGTAGGGAAGGGTTGGGAAGGAGATTTAATTTCTCTGGTAGGGACATCGCCATGGCAGTAGCTCCTCCGCCACCCAATGGCGCTGCCGTCGGACTTGGAACAGGGGGAAGAAAGACGAAGGAGGCGACAATTCGAATTAGGGCGAGAGGAGCAGCAACAAGAGGAAGAAGAGGCAGGGCCAGAAAGTTAGTGGTGGTAGTTATGGCGCAAAATGGTGGCCTCGGCTGGAGACAATAGCACTGTTGAGGATAAGGTCGGAGATGGATTCGGTTTTCTATCACTCCACTCCTAAAGCTCCATTGATTAACTCGGAAATTGCGGTGGCATCGTGAGCGATGGAAGGGGTGAGCTTGCTGTAGAGGCGGCTTAGGTGGGGGTTAGGGATTTGGGCGGCGAAGCTGAATTCGAAGGGGAGACTCCGGACAGAGGGCGGCGACGGTGGGACGGCAGGGCGACAGTGTATTGAGATAAAATCCAATTTTTATCTTTTTATTTTATTAAATTATTTTATTTGTATTACTTTTTATTTTCCACATGGCATCTTCACTAACAGACAATGATATTGACTGTCTAATTTGACAAAATTTCACGAATCATGCCAATTGAGACTATATGGTGTATAATTTAGGTTAGAATAACAATTTCTGTAACCACTGGCCAAAATTGTTTAAATGGTTATAGTTCGGACCAGAATAAAGTATTAACGGGATGAGTTAGGATGGTTACTATTTTTATAGTAACCATGGTGGCTACCTACATCTCCACCCTTCATTCTCAATATTTTTAAAATAATGGCTTTGATTGATTAAGGTTAATTTTGGAAAAAAATATAAAACCACACCGAATTACTATCGTTAAAATATAACTTTTCATATATTCTCAAACCCTAAATAATTATATATCCCCAACCCTAACAAATCCCTTCCGCCTCTCCCATCCCGACGAACAACCAACCTGCCGCCATCCCTCCTCCCGACCAATCTCCGCCATTCTTTCTCACCCTTTCCCATCACTCTTAACGTCCCTCATCTCCACCAACCCCACCCACCACTTTCATTCTCCCCTGCCTTCTCCCCAACCCACCCTCCACCTTTATCTCTCCCTCCCAACCCAACCCCACCCCATCACCGTCTGCCACGTCTCCCCTCCTCCACAACCTACCGCCCACCCCACATCTCTCCGCTGTGAAGACATGGGGTCTAGGGATGACAACAAAACCCGAACCCATGGGTACCCACCCGACCCAACCCGGTCAACGCGGGTAAAACCCTTGTTGACGGGTTTTGGGCCGGGTTTGGGTTTAAACCCACTACACTATTCACCTGATCGAGTTGGGTTTGGATTTAGGTAAACCCTCCCCATGGGTACCCGCCCACACACATATAATTACTTTCCCAGTATATTTAATATTCTAAATAATATATCTTTCTTAAACAATTAATATTCTTTATGTTTGTGGAGACATATATAATTTGTTGTTTCTAATTGTTTAGAATGAAGTTGATATTATGAAGTGGAAAGTGAAGAAACTTAGTTGACGAGTAAGAAGCTTTCAATTAATCTTATTGTTTATAAATGTTTATCTTTAATTTTGAAAAATTTTTATTGATCATTTGAGGTTTGCTTGTATGCTCTAGTTGGTGTTTTTTGTATGAATAATTTGTATGAGAAAATTAATGTTAAACTTTTATTTTGAAAGAAACTTGTTATTGTAAATTTTTTATCACAATAATTTGTTATTATATGAATAATTTATTAAAAAATTAATTAATACAATTTATTTTTCACACACAATTTACCTTTAGTAACTACTGTGCAATAACTTGTCCCAGGTATTAACCCTTAAATATACGTTGTAACGTAGTTTCACCTTATGATCTGATCAACGGCAGAGGAAAACGACCTCATTCAGTTCCCGTACACGTTGAACCCATGCAATCATATCTCTCGGTCTCATCCTTCATCGTGACTCAGATCAAATCCATTGCCATTGCCACTCCACTTCCATTCTTGTTTTTGGTTTGCACTTTGTGTTTCTTATTTGGGTTTCCCTGTGTGTCGGTTTTCTAGAATTTCCCCCAATCTTCCGTCTCTTCTCCTTCTCCTTCGCTCTCCTCGCTCTCCGATCGTCGGCATCAATTTATCCATGGCGCTTGCGCGTTACCTGCTCGCGGTTCCAGCGTATACTTCCTCTAATCGCCGTAGAGTTTCGATCTTGAGCTCGTCCCCAACTGCCGAGTCCTCTTCGTTTCCAGCTCACTTCTCTTCACGCTCTCTCGCGTCTAAGCCCAGCAAATTGCCAATCTTCACCAGAACACGACCAGGTGGGTGATCCCTCCCTCCGTCGATGTCCGTTTCTTTTCTTACTCCAAACATATATCGCTAGTTTGGCACAAGAGTGACAATTTTCGTTTGATTTAATGAGTAGGCAAGGCCAAGGCGCAAGAATCTGGAGTGGATTTGGGTGCAGCTGATTCTTTCACTCGTTTCAAGCATTTGCTTTTGCCCGTCACTGACACCAACCCTTATCTCTCTGAAGGAACAAGACAGGTAAACGCAATGACTGATGACACCCCTTTTCGCTTTTCTTGCCAAGAATTCTGCAAATCCTGTTTGCCCTCTTGTTGATAAGCTCCCATATGTGTTTCCACTTCTTCCTGGATTGGTTGGTCAACTGCTGCAGGCTGCTGCAACTGCTGGGGCATTGGCGAAGAAATATGAAGCTGACATCACAGTTGTTGGTAAAAAAAAAGCAACACGCTACAACATTTCGAATTTGGCTCTCTCTCCATTCAAACAGACATGGGTGTTCTTTGTTTCACTGAAAACTGGGATGTTTTCCATTCCTTGCAGTGATCGATGAAAGGCAGAAGGAAACCTTTCCGGAGCATGAGACCCAAATGTCGAGCATCCGGTGGCATCTGTCTGAAGGTATGAGCATTGATGAATGGTAACACCCTATTGGACTTGGTAGGATAACAGAGACATTGGACAGATAGGCCAATCGGTATTCGCATAGGTTCAGTTAATCGTGTGCTTCTTACTTGGATGGATGTTATCATGGTCAAGCTTGCTGTCAATGTGCTAGTAATGGAAATGTAATGGTGATGACGGGTTCTGTTGAACTGGGTGCAGTTGGGTTCCAGGAATTCAAGTTGCTGGAGCGATTTGGGGAAGGGAAGAAACCCACAGCCATCATTGGGGAGATTGCTGATGATCTGAACTTGGACTTGGTGGTCATAAGCATGGAAGCAATTCACTCCAAGCATGTGGATGCCAACCTGCTGGCAGAGTTCATCCCCTGCCCTGTCTTGCTCTTGCCGTTGTAGAACTCTGCAACTATACTTTGTTTTGTGTAGGGTAAACTAATGAATCCGCCATGTTCATAGACACTCAGAAAACCCAGTGTGTAGCAATAGCACAGTTTTCTCCATCATCAGCGTTTGCCCTTTTTAAGTTTCAACTGTTTGATATATGCTCTGTAGGTTCCTGGTTTGTTTCAGTTCCAGGACCGTGAAACATGAGCCTAATCAAACCCTGCAGACTTTTGCTGTCTCGTTGTTGATAGCTGTTTGACAAGATTTGCGAATCATTCTCCAACTCCTGTGTTCCTTGCTCTAGCCCTTGATTAGTATGAGCTCCCGAAACTTCGGCCGGTTTTTGTTAGGTTAAAAGTTGAAATTTGTGTGGCTGACTGGCTGTGAATAAGAACTCGCAATGAGTAGGCAAAATGATCAACTAGATTATGATGGATATATTAACTGGTTAAGGAGCCACAGTAAGATGCTTATAAAATTCACCAAAGTAACGGAGAAAATCCATCTGTCTGCAAAGACTTATATGAACGTTGCATGATTAAACAGAAAACAGCCAAACAAAAGATAAGTAGACTCTACTTAAATTACGAGAAGAAATGACTGGCAACTTAGATGGCTCCAGGCACTACCAGTGCCACAACAGGTCTGAAGACCGTATTTAGAAGAAAAGTGAATATAATTCTTCTCAATGATTCCCGGTAATGAATATTTGGAACGAGCCAAGACATCCAGCACCACCACCATCAGGGCATTATAAAAATTGGTTGCGTTGTTTCAAGGGGCACCTAAATCTGCACCTTTTTTCACCAGTAATCGTTGCAACTGCACACACCATCTTTCATATGATGGAACCTCTTGTTGTCTCGCATTATGAGCTGCCTGCCAACGATGTATGAGATGATCTTGCATGCATTATGACAATCGCCACAGACACGAAGATTCTTTGTTACTCGAACTGGCATACGAGCAGGAGAAGTTAGAAAGCCTTGAGCAAGAGCAAGTCTCTCACTGTGAGCATGGATGGCTTCCTCCTTGCTCTCTTGGTCTACATCATGCAATACAAATCTCGTCTCTGGAACATAACCAGCTTCTATCATTTGAGCCTTCAGATTCCTCAGCAGACCATATATCTTATCAGTATCAGGAGAAGATTTATCTCCTGCTCGGTATCCCTGCGTCCTACGCTCTAGAAGATTTTGTGAGGCCAACTTCTTCTCCCTCACAAGTGCAATGTCAGAAGCTCTAACTGGTACAAGACCTGCCTTTGACTCTTTGTCCAGGCGACTGGGGTCCAGCTGCTCCACAATTTCAGCACAACGATCGCCAAGCTCCAAGTTTCCTTGAACTCTGCTAAGATACATTAGCGTTTCCCAGACATTTATATTCTGTTCCAAATGCATCTTGTGGATAAATTCTAATGCTTCATCGAGATATCCAGCACTTCCCAACATCTGCACAATGCTAAGGTGATGTTCCATTGTTGGGATGATATCAAAATCCTTTTTCATGGACATAAGGTGGAACATACCTTCATCCATATCACCCAAGACACCGCAAGCCAAAAAAACTCCAATAAACATCTTAGAATTAGGTCTAAATCCAGCTTCCTTGAACTGGGTGAACAGATCAATGGCATCCTCCCCAAGTTCATTCTTAGCAAGCCATGTTATCATGGTATCCCAAGAAATCCAATCACGCTCTGGCATGTTGTTGAACACATCTAGTGCGTCATCCATAGCGCCACATTTCGAGTACATCTCCATGATCTTGTTATAAGTATTGACATTAGGTGAGGACATAGCTCTCATGATATGCTCATGAACCTGTTTTGCCTCTTTTAAAGCCATAGACTCCCCACAGACACTAATTAACCTCAATAGGCAGTCGAAGTTCACAGTTACCTGCATTCCCTGCAACTTTAGCAATATCTCCACAGCTTCCTTAGCTTTACCATCCTTGCAAAACTTATCCAACTCTTCCAGAAGATCTCCATCCATTGCACTTCCAAAAGCTATGGCTCCAGCTTGTGTACCAGCTTGCTGCTGATTTAGTCCATCATTAAGATTATGACCGTCTTGCATAGGTGGAAGACGATGATGCATCATCCCACTACTCCCAGCACCGTGCTCATACATGCCATTCTGCAAATGTAGACTATTCTGGGACGGTGAAAGTCCTCGTGACCAATACCCATTTGGATTTTGAACATTTCCATTAGCATTCTCCATGTATCCCTGACCTGTCCTCTGTACATTGTCATTCACTCTGTAGAGACTGTCTGAATTCCTTGAATTCGGAATATTACTGCCCTGTAGGCCCTGTTGGTAAGTAGCTCGAGAATTCCATGAATTTGGCATATTGCTTCCCTGCAAATTCTGCTGAAACTGCTCATTTCCATATCCGTAGTTCCCACCAACGGATCCATTATTCTCCCATACGCTATTCTGATTGAAACTACTTCCGTTTCTGCAATAATTCCTACTGGTGTTCTCAGTGTAATCGGGTCCAGAAAACCCAGCCAAGTTCCCTTTCTCTCTGTCCTGATAATTCCACGAGTTTCCATTTGTATCTCCAAAACCCCCATCAGGGTTTAAGCCGCTTGCCCTCGGGTTGCTCCATGAACCGGCATGGCTTTGTCTCTCGTTTGGGGAGACGCCACCAAAATCGTCAGTTGGAAGCTTTAAACTTTGAGCGGTGCTGAGGTTTCTGGATAGGAAAGTGGATTTGATTGGACAAGAGGAATCACCGGGAAAGCGTACCTTGGGGAAAGCACTTAGGGACTTGACGGTGAGAAGACAAACCCTCCTTTTCGACATTAGTTCCCTGCACAAGATGCGGTTCGGTTCGCTCGCTGAATGAACTGAAAGTTTCAGAGTCCGTGTGCCGACGATGAGAGACGGACGGAGGTTAAAGAAGACCCAGCCGTTCGGTCCAGTATTTTCTGTTTTGGGTATAGGTGCGTCGTGTTTCGTTTAGAAGCAGGTTAAGAAGACTAAATAGTACCAAGTAGGATGGCAAAATAACCTACCACACGAACCAAGGGAGTGGATACTATAACAACAGCTCCTTTGGTTTTACTGTAACAACAGGATTCATTGAGGGTAATAGGGTAATTTAACTTAAAAAAAAATAAAGGGATTCTCCCCCGCCTCCACCCAACTTTTCTCCTCCGCCTCACTTTTCTTTTCGTCCACACTCGGCGCAGGTGGAACTTGGAGACGACTCCGATCGAGCTGCGGCCCGAGAAATTGGCGGCTAGGTCGGACTCGAGTGACTTAAGGGGAGCTAGGGAAGGAAAGGCGGGAGCTGTAGCAGCAGAGGAAGAAGCGGCGGCGCCGCTGTGGGTGCTCGGTAGGAAGAATTTCTGATTGGGTACCTGGCAGTACTGCTGCGGGTCGTGGTGGTGGTGATGCTGCTGACGGTTTATTCAGAAACAATACTACAAGTTAAATACCATCATTTGAGCCTTCTTGGCACCACGCCTTCTCTCAATCCACTTCCCCTGATTTTCTGCTAACATTTCTAACTACTTTGCCCTGCTAAACTAAGAGCCCTTATTAGACTAAACCAAGTATACGACACAGTTCTATCTAAAAACACATCACTTTACTTCACATGACTCCCACGAGAGTCTTTTATCTAACAGGTTGCTAATACAATACAAATCTAAAAACACAACTACTTTGTCTTTTATTCTAAAAACAAACCACAAAAAACATACCACAAATCTCCTAATACAAACCATAAATCTTCTAAAAGATACCAGAAATATCACAAAGCAAACCACAAATATTTTAAAGCACACCAAAAACCTTCTAATGCAAACCACAAACATGATAAAACAATCCACAAAAAACATACAAAAAACTTCCTAATGCAAACCAAATCAGAAACCTCCTAATGCATACCAGAAATCCCCTAAAACAAACAAAAACCCCACAAAGCAAACCACAACATTTGCGAAAGCACACCAGAAACTCCTAATGCAAACCACAAACACAGTAAATCAAACCACAAAAAAGCAAACCATAAACGTCCTAATGCAGACCACAAATATATTAAAACAAACCAGAAACCCCTCAATGCAAACCGCAAATTTTTTGAAAGCAAACCAGAAACTTCTCAATACAAACCACAAACACGATAAAGCTAACCAGAAACTTCTTAATGCAAACCACAAACACGATACAGCAAACCACAAAAGGCATACAAAAATATGAGAAACCAAACCATAAATCTCACAATGCAGACCATAACATCCGGTGGTCGTTGGTCGTTGACCGGTCAACGAAGTTCGTTGACCAAACTCCGATGACCGTCAGTGAGTAGATTCCGGCGCCGATAGGCATATTTCGGCCCCGATGACTAAATTCCGACGCCGGTAAGCATATTCCGACCACTGTGAGCATATTCCGGCGACGGTGAGCATATTCCAATGCCAAAATAGCATATTCCGGTGATCGACGACCAGATTCCGGCGATCGGTGGCAAAATTCCGGCGACCAAAATTTTGGGCTGAAAATAATAAAAAAAAATTTATTTTTTTTATTCTTTAAACATATTTTTCATAATGACAATTATACCCCTGCTTTGATTTTACACCAAGTCAACTCATCTAATAAAAAGTCATCACAACCCTAGCTTCCTATTGGTTGGAGACTAGTGTTGTTACAATAACAACACAAGGGGTGTTGTCATAGTAACCGGTCCCACGAACCAATAAAAAGGGATTTAGTTCGAGAAATTGGTATTATTTTTGGGCGAGTTTTCTTCAAACTCGAGAAAGATAGCGGTGTTTTTGATACTTTAAGTATACTAGCTTTTACTCGGCCGTTGGTCTCACCCGATCGTTGGTCGGATGAATTTTGTTTTATTTTATGTTGATTAATTTCTTCATATTTTTAAATAATTTGAGATTTTCTAAAATATTTATTTCATTATTTCAAGTAATCTTCATGGTATATGTTGATTATGACATTACCGATAATTTGTTGATATTGATTTTTTTATCAAGTCATTCTAGTTTACTGTTGTGTACTTTTTCGTATCTTAGAAGAGATTTGTGGACTTTTTATTGTCGGATATGAATTTGGAGTTGGAAAGAAATATGTATCATCTAGAATTGGTAGGAAATGAAGTGTATATAAAAAAATAAAGAGAATAACAAAAAAAAAATATGCCTAGAAATCACAAATGTGGAAAACACAAAAAAATAATGTATTGTATAAATTATTATAGTGTATAGGTTTGTTTGAATAATAAGTGGGGGTTGTTAAGTGTTAGATACTAATACACGTACAAAAGTAAAGAAAATCCAAACATTCTAAAATCTTAAATTCTATTCTACCAACACGATCTTATACTTTTCATGTGAAGTTAATAACATAAATTGTCACTCTATTATCCATTTTTCTCAAATCTATCCCTCTATTATTTTTCACAATAAACATGCTCTCGTACTATATAGTATATACGTATTAACAAATAAATTTATCCTTTGTTATGGCTTATCTTCTCCTGTATATGTACAAAATTGGCAAATTTTATATCATCGGTCATCTAACTAACCTCCTATCCTTTTATTTAGCCCCAAGCCCGACCCGTGATTTGATGATCTATTTCACAGTTCTCATTCACGAATTCGTGGTGAATCTTCGGAAGTAGGGAAAAAAATTTACCGCTCATCATCTCGTGCCGCATGTATCCTTTTTGTCTTTTCTCTTCAGATCTCTAACGACACCACATGTATTCCTTTCTCTCACGAAGAAGCGGATCATCGTCTTCAAGCCAAAGCTGTTGATTTGGCTATAACTTGTTTCATTTTACTTTTTTATAGAGAGAAAAATCTCTCAAATGAGTGACATACGAAATAAAATTTGTGAACTTTCATTTTTTATGCTCTGATTTTTAGTTTGAGCTACAATTTCTGGGTTTTGGAAGTTTGTGGTTTCTATAAAATAATTGTGAAGCAAAAATATCATTCCTACTTTCGTTCTAGTTGTAGGAAATTTGAAATGAGACAACAATTTTTTCATTTCAGTACTATATATTGTGTAGAGTTTATATAAAGACATGTCATTTCCCTACAAATTCATTAGCACATTAAAAAAAGGTGAAATGAAAAAACTTATTAAACTCCTAATGATTGTTGGATCCAATCATGTCATAATAGGAACAGGTTTAAAATTTGACGATTACCGAACAAAAAATGTTCAAAGAACCAGCCCATATAGTTTACATAATGATATGAATACAATTGTTTCATAGTAGGTCAAAAAATTAATACTAATTTAAGAATTATACATCACTTCCACATATTCAATATTGCAATTCGATATGGAATATTAAAATCGATGATATTTGGGCCGTGATTTTAAATTTGTCCTCTATTTATAAGATATATAGGAATTTAATTAAGTATTAAAAAATAACCAAAATGACAAATTTATCCTCTATTTTAAATTTAACCTTTATTTATAAGATATATAATAATTTAATTAAGAGATAGTCGAACATGGTCAGTGATGTTCCATGTTGTAGGGTTATGTGATAAGTAAAAGGATGATATGATAGCATAGTTACATATATGAATTGTTGAAAACAACATCGTTTTAAAGTGGCCTGGTGCTCGAATTAGTTGGTTAAATTGGTGAGATTTCTCGGTTTGATTGGGTTTTCAAGGGTTTGACCGAGTTCGAGTAGACAACCAACTGGGCCTTCGGCACCCGTTGAGATACTCAGGTTTAGGTTGAATTGGTTCGACCAGCAGAGTCAAACTCGAATTGACAATCATGGTTATGACTCTTGTTTGTGGTTGAAGATATATTAGTTCAAATCACAATACTTGTCTATATTCTATACAAAATAAAAATAAATAATGACGAAGATAAAAATATCATTCATACTTTTGTTCTTGTTGTAGAAAATTTGAAATGAGAGGACAATTTTATAATGTCAGTAGTATATATTGTGTAAAGTGTATATGTAGACATGTCCTTGCTCTATAAATTCATTTTAATACATAGAAACGATGAAATAAACCAACCTATTAAACTCAACCTTGTCTTATGATTGTTGGATCAAATCATACCTGTCGGATTTGGAAGATGTTTAAAACTTAACAGTTAGCCGAGCTAAAACGTTCAAAGAACCTGTCCCCATACAGTTTGCAGAAAGATATGAATATGATTGTTTCATAGTACTTCTGTAAACTAATACTAATGTAAGAGTTCAACATCGTTTCTACAAATTTGATATTGCAATTCGATAAGCAATATTGAACCAATGATATTTGTTCTTTGATTTCAAAGTTATGCTTTAACTATATGATAAATAGAAATTTAAATTAAGTATCATAGTATAATTAAAATAATTAAATACAAAAATCAAAGTTTCAAAACACCAATTAGTACCAAGCGAAGATTTAATGACCTTAGCTAAGTGTTGAAAAGTCCTATGATTTTTTAATTTTAGCTTCATGTATATTTTTTATTTAAAATGATACAAATAATCTATGTAGTTTGATTGGTTAAGATTCTTGTCATTGTTGATAATGACCACGGTCCGAAGCCTAGTATGTGCTTCTTTTTTTAGCAATAAATGAGAAACAAATAGATCATTGTGAAGACAAAAATACACATCCTACATTCACTCTCGTTGCAGGAAAATTTGAATGGGGGTGGAAGTTACAACTCTGTGCTATTAATATACTTGTAGATTTATAAGATATATAATAATTTAATTAAGAGATAGTCGAACATGGTCTGTGATGTTCCATGTTGTAGGGTTATGTGATAAGTAAAAGGATGATATGACAGCATAGTTACATATATGAATTGTTGAAAACAACATCGTTTTAAAGTGGCCTGGTGCTCGAATTAGTTGGTTAAATTGGTGAGATTTCTCGGTTTGATTGGGTTTTCAAGGGTTTGACCGAGTTCGAGTAGATAACCAACTGGGCCTTCGGCACCCGTTGAGATGCTCAGGTTTAGGTTGAATTGGTTCGACCAGCAGAGTCAAACTCGAATTGACAATCATGGTTATGACTCTTGTTTGTGGTTGAAGATATATTAGTTC